AACAACAACAACAACAACTTTATTTTTTCACCCCAAAATATACAAGAAAGAAAAGGAGTACATCATTTGACGACAAAAATGTGTTCCCAACGGTTTACAAAACACCTGAATGTATTTAATTGAAACAATATGTTAATAAACTTCTAATACACTTTATTTAAAGTTCTACCACTTGAGAAAATGTATGAACAAGTTTTAATGGAAATAAGTTCCTCGGGTTAGCAAAATCCCATCTGATTTGACCGATTTTTATAGAGCTAGTGTTTTCTCTGTTGATTTTTTTCTTTCTTTTATCATACACTGCTCTAAAAGGCCAGACACGCGTTTCACATTTCACTTATGTTAGGAATTCCCAACTTTGATTGAGGATCTCAATGAAGTTGATCTTCAGCCGATACACACCTATAGCATTGTTTAAATTCCTTATTGTGTCATCCAAGGTCAACAATAGTGACACCAAACTGCTTTTCCAAACAGGTATTAGGGAGACCCTTTGTCACCATGTAAACCAAATCAAACACCTTTTTTCCTTGTAGTTCTTCTCCAAGATCCATGCCTTGCTTTGTTGAGGCATCCATGCAAACCAATGGGACAGCTTTCTCTTCATGAGAAAGCTTTTCGAACAATGCCTTCAGTAGCCTCTCTGCGATGGCTTTAGAATCCGCAAACAGAGGTCCTATTAAGTAACCTTCCTATTGAAGAAAAGACGGTCGGGCAGAGATGTAACCCACGGTTAAACCGTCATTGTTGACGGCCACATATCCAAGGGTACCCTCTGCACGAAGTAATCTCGATAAGAACGCGCTACGTTCGAAGCCAAACACATGCGTATCGTACCGAAATATGTTCTCTAGTTCTACGTCCTCTATAGCTTTGACTTCTACGGAAATTTTCTCCAGTATTTCAGGGAAACAGGCTATGGTTGTCGGGAGATGGAAGTCATAGCGTGCCGCATGAAAGTGACTTCGAAATCCGCTTCTTTCATACATTTTCTCGAGGTGAAGCAAAGCATATAATCCGATGTTGCTGGTTGGCTTCACACTTGACACGGCGGCATTGAAGATCTTCAAGCCGTATCCCTTTCCTCTATATGCCTTGTCCACTAGATAAGCTCCGATGAAAGCAAAGCTATCGCCATATTTTGAAATTCTAACAGTGGCTATGGGTTTCCCGTTCAGTTCACCAACGAAAGCTGCCGTGGGATCACAAGCGAGAAACAATTCGGCGTCCTTTAAGCCCGGCCGCCAGCCTTCCTTCGCCATTGGTTTTATCGCAAACCTTTGCATTTCTTCTTCAGTCGTGATCAGGCGAATCTTGAACGATTCCTGCTCATCTGTCGCCAGCTTACGGTCGACGAAGGACTCCATCTTGGTACGTGGCAGCTGTGTAACCAATCATTTTTATGGCAATCACTTTTTTGCACGTCACGCAAGTCACGTTACGAATCTAAACGTAAATTTGATTGATACGTATAATATATAGATTTAGCCGAGCCTAAAAGCAGAGCTCTTGTTAGTTTATTTTCCATCCCCTTATTATTCTGAATAAGAACTGCCATAAAACTCTTAAAGACCGGCTGTAGAAGAGTTTTTCTTTAAGGGGATTTAGAGACCAGTCCGGGGGGTGGGGAGGGGGGGAATAACTGACGAGGTCTAGAGCTTGGGGACGGTGTTCTCAAAACTTGCAAAGCGATCAACACACATGCTAGTCCGCGGTACCTTCAAACAGCCTAGGATGCTCGTTGTTGTTCCTGATGTTTTGATCAAATTTTCGAAGATATAGAATGTTTTCTTCTTCAGATGAAGTGTATGATGTCAGCATCGGTTGAAATTATATTATAATGAGCGTGACGTCTAATTTCAGTTCGGGGGAATTGAGGGAAAATCGAAAGAAACGACGGTGAACTACTTCGCGTCAAGACATTACTGGTCGATTGGAGGAGTGAGAACAGTGAGTCAGTAAAACAATATTCTAGAATCGTATGGGCTTCTCGTTTTTCTCCTCTTGAAGTTGCCAGGTATGACTGCTTGCCCCACCATTTTTCTGCATACGATGTGGGTGTCTTTAAGAAAACATCAGATAGCACCTGGATTTCATTTTTCCATCGCAGAAATCAATTCCAAACGTCAATCAAGTTTTCTCTTTAATTTTAAAGTTAGTTGATATTGTTATTGGCTATATTAAATGGGTTGAAAAGTTTTAGATGGTATTTTCTCATGTTTTCCATTAATTGAATTTACTGAAAGGTGGAGTTATCGCAACATGTGAACATGAAACACAACAATAAATGTTATTAATAAGTAAAAAGTTTCATTTGACTATCTACATTACTGCTCGCGTATACGTTAACGGCGCAGACGAATTTCATACCCTCAGACGCAGGGCAGTCAGACGCGTATATACGATTTTTCCACGGTCAAAAAAATGCGCGACTCATGTGCCTTTGTTATTCAGTGCTAGAAGTTTCCTTTGTAGTGCATTGTTGAGTGAAACAAAGAACTTTTTGGTTTGAAAAAGCGGCGAGTGGACCACAGAAAATTTACGTAATGAAAAAAGCTATCAATCAATCAATCAATCAATTTATTTAACGTGGCCAGAACGCTTAGCTAAAAGCTAGTTTACAGGTACGCCACGAAATAAAAAGAGAAAAGGAAATTATAAAGCCTTGTGAAGGTATATAAATTTAAATAAATTAAGATTAAGAACTAGCTAATATTAAAATATAAGTATTTAACAATGTAGTCACCAAGTAAAATGTATAAAATGTAATCATTAAAAACAGTAAATATAATCAAGGATAGATCCTCACCGCATTAGAGTCCAGTGAGATCTAATGTTTTTTAGTAATTTTTAAAAGTAGTAAATGTTTGTATCTTTCGAGACTCATCCGGTAAGAAGTTCCATAATTTCGATGCAGCATATCTCAATGATCTTAACCTGAAGGTTGTTGATTTTACTTTTGGGAGGTCCAGTATTGTGTTGCCCCTAAGGTTATAAGTGGAGCACCTTACTGTTATAAGATCCCGTAAGCTTTTTGGACCTGCATCACTGGCTAATATCTTAAAGACAGTGGACAATATTTTCGCTAATCGCTGTTCACGAAGACGTGAGAGACCGAAACGCTTACAAAGTTCCCCATAAGGCGAGGACGAGGCTATCATG